GGGGGAGGTCTAGGTTGGATATTAGGAAAAACTATTTCCCTAGGAGGGTGGTGAAGTACTGGAATGGGTTACTTAGGGAGGTGGTGGAATCTCCATCCCTAGAGGTTTTTAAGTCTTGGCTTGACAAAGCCCTGGCTGGGTTGATTTAGTTGGGATTGGTCCTGCCTTGGGTAGAGGGCTGGACTTGACCTCCTGAGATCTCTTCCAGCTCTATGATTCTAAGCATTTTGGTTGCCCTCTGCTGGACCCTCTCCAATGTGTCCACATCCTTTCTGTAGTGGGGGATGGGGGGCCCAGTATTGGACACAATATTCCAGATGTACCCTCACTAGTCACGTATATAGTAGCCCAATGTCTGTGACTCTAACGCTGAAATGCTGGCTGGTAGACGTAGCCAGCATGTATCACTCCTCTGCCCCTCCCCTCACCAGCTGGGAGCGAGAAGAATGCAGGCAAGCTGTGCACTTGATTTTTTCTCCCTGATAGTGAGGGGAAGGGGAATAAGAACAAGCAATGTCCCAGTATGTGCAGCTGTAGCCTCCCCGCCCCCTCCTGAAATGATAGCCTTGGATAAGTACCCAGAAGACCTAGTGACACACATGGGCAAGTGTGGCAGCAGTTCAAGTCTGGCTTTGCAGTGTCACTGCCCACATTGAGGTTAGGCTAATCCAAGTGCTCAGACCCAGATGCTGATTACCTTATTTAACACTGCAGTGAAGATACATCCTTGGGCTCTAGTCCTACAATTAAGGGAATGTCAGCGCTGCACTCTGGCCATGTTCTGTCAGTTACAGTTGAAATGAGAATTTATATAATCAAAATCCATGGTAGAATTTCCAGGAAGCTGAAAACCATTTCTCCCCAATAAAGACGTGTGTGTAATTATTTTATCAGCTTATACTGGTCTGTTTTTGAAGTATTTTGCCCACTTTCCTCCTGGGGACACTCTTCTTATGTTGGGACTTTCAAAAAATGCTGGGGAGGGAAGTGAGACTCTCCATATGCAAGTATTCCCAGGCCTCTAAGAACTCTCTTTCCAATAGCACCTGCCCCCATTGTATGAAGCATATTATTTGTAACACACCAAGAACTCTGCCTTACAAACACCTTTCTTTGCTTGCTTCCTTTTTCTTACTGCTCCTCACTGCAAATAATTGTACTGTTCCTGATATGACATTGGGAACAGCGGCATCCATTATGACAGTGCAAAGCTATAGGTTTTGAACCAAGTAGAATTAAATTCTTAACCAGTTGAAATTGTGTGTGTTTATATATAGACCCTTCTTAAATAAACTAAGAATGGCTATACTGGGTCAGACCAAAGGTCCGTCTATCCCAGTGTTCTGTCTTCTGACCATGGCCAATTCTAGGTGCCCCAGGGGGAAAAAACAGAACAAATAATCAAGTGATCTTTCCCCTGTCACCCATTCCAAGCTTCTGACAGAAGCTAGGGACACAATTCCTACCCATCCTGGCTAATAGCCACTAGTTCTTTTATGAATTCTGTTAGTCGTGGTCTTCACAACATCCTCTGACAAGGAGTTCCACAGTTAGACTGTGCATTGTGTGAAGAAATACTTCCTTTAGTTTGTTTTAAACCTGCTGCTTATTAATTTCATTTGGTGACCCCTATTTCTTGTGTTATGGAAACAGGTAAATAACTTTTCCTTATCTATTTTCTCCACATCAGACCTGATTTTATAGATCTCTGTTGTATTCCCTCTTTAGTCTACGTTAATAAAACTGGGACTTTTTAGTTTGGAAATGTTTCCTCATTCTGCAGCCATTCCAAGCCCCTAATCATTTTTGTTGCCCTTTTCTGAACTTTGTCAAGTGCCAAGATTTTTTTTTTTTTTGAGATGAGATGATCACATCTCTCACGTTATTCAAGAAGTGGCTGTACCATGGATTTATATAAAGGCAATAAGATATTCTCTGTCATTTTTTAATGATTCCTAACATACTGTTTGCTTTATTGACTGCTGCTGCACATTGAGTAGATGTCTTAGAGAACTATCCACAGTGACTCCAAGATCTTTCCCTTGCGTGGCAGTAGCTAATTTAGCCCCCATCATTTTGCACATATAGTTGGGGTTATGTTTTCCAATATGCATTACTTTTCATTTATCAACGTTAAAATTCATCTGCCATTTTTTTGCCCAGTCACTTTGGTTTGTGAGATCCGTTTGAAGCTCTTCACATCTGCTTTGGACGTAACTATCTTGAGCAGTTTAGTCTTGTCTGCAAATCTTTCAACCTCACTGTTTACCCCATTCTCCAGATTGTTTATGAATATGTTGATTAGGATTGGTCCCAGTACAGACCCCAGTGGGACACCACTAATTACCTCTCTCCATTATGAAAACTGACCATTTATTCCTACCCTTTGTTTCCTAGCTTTTAACTAGTTATCAGTCCATGAGAGGACCTTGCAGTGTTTAATCACCCTGACAGTTAGGAAGTTTTTCCTAATGTCCAGCCTAAGCCCCCCTTGCTTCAAGTTAAGCCCATTGCTTCTTGTCCTATCATCAGAGGCTAAGGAGAATGATTTTTCTCCCTCCTCTTTGTGACACCCTTTTAGATACCTGAAAACTGCTATCAAGTCCCCTCTCAGTCTTCTCCTTTCCAAACTAAACAAGCCCAGTTCTTTCAGTCTTCCTTCATAGGTCATATTCTCTAGACCTCTAATCATTCTTATTATTCTTCCCTGGACCTTCTCCAATTTCTCCACATCTTTCCTGAAATGTGGTACCCAGAACTAGACATAGTACTCCAGTTGAGGCCTCATCATCACAGAGCAGAGCAGAAGAATGACTTCTCATGTCTTGCTCACAACACTCCTGCTAATGCATCCCAGAATCGTTTGCTTTTTT